AAAAAAAAAAAAAAAAAAAAAAAGCCCTGGGGCTCCAGACCCAAGTATGCGTCTGGGCTGGTCCACTGCTCCAAATCAAAGGCAGCCTCCAATCCTCGCTCAGGTTATTCATTCACCAACACCAAACCCCAGGACAGAAGATGAAACAAAACCAGACTCCTTCCTCCACAGCATGTGTTGATTTCAGTGGCAGTGGAGGACAATGTGGAAAACAATGGAACTTTTCCTTGAAACTGGGCAGTGGTGAAGGCTGCCTTCCATGACCAGAACCTGCCGCGTCCCTGACTGCTTCCTTCCAGTCTCTGAAAGCAGAAATCATCTTCTCTGAAGATACTTGGTAACAGTTCCAAAAACAGAAACAGGCTTCAAGGCACTGTGCTTTGATATTCTGAGGGGAAATAATACAACTGCATCAGTATAAACTTAATACAATCTGCCACCCAAAAGAAATAATAGCAACAATAAAAGCCAATCTCTCTTTTTTTTTTTCCTTCCGGTACCAGGAATCGAACTCACGACCTTGCGCTTGCCAAGCGAGTGCTGTGCTGCTGAGCTAAATCCCCAGCCCCTAAAAGCCAATTTTAAAGTTAAGAGTTCTTCAACAAAATACATAGATGACTTAGGCCTTAAAATCCTTTTAGGCCGGGGATACAGCTCAGCGGCACAAGCGCCTGCCTGGCAAGTGCAAGTCCTGAAATGATTCCCAGTACCGGAAAAAAAAAAAACCCTTTTAATTTCTATTCTTCCTTTCCTATTTCCAGCTAAAAGACCACAGCAATACAGAAGATTTTCTAGCCTGTAACTTGCTGGGAATTGAAACTGCCTTGGGGATGTTAGCTGAGTGCTCTACCACTGCAACACCACCACCCAGGCCTGTACCGCTCTACCATACACACAACGCTCTATCATACACAGAGTTAGTGTCTCTAGCCATCAAACTGGTAAATACACACTTCCTCTTTCCTCCCCACCTCACATTTACTGTCATGCAGTAGTAAATATATTAAAAACCTTCCTTCACTCTCTACTGGTAGGGACCAGATCCTCGGTCTTTCCTATGCTAGGCAAGTACTGTACCATTAACTATACCTTGGCTCACAAAAATAACTTTTAGGGGACAAAATGCGGCCCATTAGAAGTTGTGCCAATGACAGTGTTCAACCCTGGCTCACCTGGAACTAGTTCAGCTGGCGGATGAGCTGGTTGATGCGTTCACCCCGATAGCCAGGTGAGCCCATCTCCTTGAGGAAGCCCATCCTGTTCTTGGTGGCGTGCCGGGCCACGGAGAGGTGGAAAGGGCACAAGAAGCACGTGATCGCTTGGAAATGCGCCCCCGGGAAGGCGATTTCATGAATGAGGTCTTCCAGGCAAATGACACCAAACTTGCCTGAAAGAGTCACAGAGGCAGATTGCTTTATTCTCCATCTATGCAGCTCCTGGGGACCGAACAAGAACATGCCCTGGTTCCCACGCCAGTGCCACCAAAGACCCTCGCTTTCTGGCCCAGCTGACCCTTCGGTGCAGCACTCACCCAGGTGCTCCTCGATCACAGTGTTGTCTGTCAGAGGGAAGGTCTTATTCTTGACCTTGCCCTGTCCACGTTTCAAAATGAGTTCCCGGACAGACTTCAGATTTGGAAATCTATGTGAGGCAGAAGCAAGCACAGCCTTAGCTGGCGCCTGGCACACTGCCACTGGCCAGACGGTGCTGTGGGCTGGCTGAGAAAAGAAGGGAGGAATTCTGCTTTCCACCTCACCCCTCACCCTGGGGGTGTTCAGCACTCCCTTCCCAGCTGGGGATACACGCGTGCAGGAGGGAATCAAAACAGAGTGGTCCTGGCTGGCTAACTAGACATTTCAATGTATGAAGTGTCCACCCTGATAGCCAGGTGAGCGATCAAAACAATTTACTTCCCAGATACAACAAAAACCATACCGCGTGCTCACTTCGGCAACACCGTACTAAAAAACCGTACCTTGGCTTCCAGTCTACTCAAGAGGGTACAAAAGCTGTGTATTAAACCCAAGCCTTTGCTGGGCTTTAATGTTTGAGGAATACTAATTACTCTTATATAAACACTGCCACTAACTCAGCTTCAAGACCCCAAGGTGTCAACTAAACAAGCCCTGCCGTGACAGTATTCAGTCTGCATTAGCATCCGTGATCCTCCCCCTACCAGCTCCGCGTCCCAAGGTTCCTGATTTCCGGGCAATGTGGTCACATGTCCAACAGAGCACACAAGCCTGTGTGAACAGCCTGGACTCCATGAACACACATGGGAACACTCACCCCCAGGTGACGTAAGGCTCCACTATCCGCAGCATTTTGAGGGTTCTGGGGGTGACTTTAACAAAGACACCACTGAACAACTTCTTCAGGCGAAGTCTTGCAATGGTCTTCTGTACTAGTAAACTCGCCCCGTTAATCCTGAAACACACAGGAAGAGAAGTCAGGCCCTCTCTGGTTTATAGCAGTCCAGCAAGCGCCCAGAAGTGTGTATTGTTCCACTAGGCGCACAGGGAAAGACACACCATTCTTTGAAGGGTGGCAACCTGTAAATGTAACATCTACTTCTGATGTGAAGCAATGCTCAAGGTACAAAGGGAACACAGAGCCCCTGAGCTTGAGGGCAGTGATGCAGCGTGATGTATGTCTAGCCGAAGAAGCTGGACTTGCTTGCAGAGGCAGTGAAAGATACTAAAGATTTTAAGCAAGAAAAACCATAGGTTTTTTTTTCTGGTAACCACTGAACACAGCCTACTGGAGAGATCTGAGACTCTGACCCAGATGCAGGAAAATCTAGTTAGAAAACCAATATAGAACAGCCATGCGTGGTGGTGCACGCCTGTAATCCCAACACTCGGGAGGCTGAGGCAGGATTGTTGGGAATTCGAGGCCAGCCTGGGCTACAAAGTGAGCTCAAGGCCAGCCTGAGCTGCATATCGAGACCTTCTCTCAAAAAGACCAAAAAAAAAAAAAGAAAAACAAACCCAAAACTAATATAGTACAATAGCTCAGAAAAGAGATTATGGGCAGCAGTCAGAGAGTTACACAGCAAACAACTCCCAAGTGTTTTAAAACTCACAAGCTTCATACCAAGAGTCACACAGTTGCATGTGAGAGAAGGAAAGTGCCCCCGAACACGGAAATTTCTTCTCAGTACTGACTATGCTTCACCCATTCATTCTGCCTTGTTTTAGTTCCCAGAAAGATGCCTTCATTTCTTTACTTCAATACTTTACTTAGAGGGGCTGGGGATTTAGCTCAGCAGCAAAAGCGCCTGCCTGGCATGCACAAGGTCGTGAGTTCGGTTCCCGGTACGGGAGAAAAACCAAAAAAAAAAAAACAAAAAAAAAACTTTACTTAGAAAGCTTTCTGAAAGAGGGGGCAGGGGTCTGGGGTGTAGCTCAGTGGCACAATGCCTGCCTGACAAGCGTGAGGCTGAGTTCGATTCCTGGTAACCCCCCACCCAAAGCAAACTTTGTGGCCCCGCTGAACTCCTTTCTATGCAAGTGCATCTGCCCAAGGTCAGTCTCCCTAAGTCTACTGAGGGAAACGGTCTTGCTCAACTCTGAACCCCTAGCACAACTTGCGCAGCGGCTTAGGCCTGGTTATGCCCTAATCTCTCCAGAAAAGGTCAAAGCTGAATCAACAGTTCACCCAGCTGCAGGGAATCTGAAAGGACACCAGTACTCTACCTTTGGAGGCGGACAACAAAGGCCAAGGAATGTTCATCGGGTGCTTCCAAAGCTCGAGGTTTCACTTCTAGTCGTTTCACGCGCACCTTGTCACGCCGCTGTCGCCAGGAATCGTGAAGGAAAGACTCCAGTCGCTTAAATCTGATCTCTTTTACCTTCCGCTTTTGTAGAGAAAACGGGTCATCACTACTTTGCGTCTAGACTCCTCTTTTTCCTTTTACAGTTCTGGAGATTAAACCCAGGGCCTCTGCACTGAGCTACATCTCCACTGAGACAGGGTCTCACTAAGCTGGTACCACTACAGCCATGCACCACTATGCCCCTCTGTTTGCTTCCACAACAGCAATTCCGGAGTTACTGAGCACAGAGCACACTCCTATGTCCTCGAAAACGGAGCAAACAAACCTACTCGTTATTCTATAAGGGGAAAGCGAGACACCAAGGAAAGACTGAGGAAACCTGGGCCAGGTATGCTGGCACACCCCCGTAACGTCAGCAGTCTGAAAGCTGAGGCAGAAGGGGTGCCACGAATTTGAGACCAGCCTGGGCTACACAGTGAGTTCGTGGCCAGCACAGCGAGCTTCTGTCTCCCAAAATAAATACATAAAAAATAAGACAGTTCGAAAATTACTGGGAAGAAATTCTGACGGATGAACAACTTGCTGGATAAAATTCACCCCAAACGAATTCTAACACCCTCTTCCAGGTTCCCCAGCATTACCTCCTTCTTTGCCAAAAGTGCCTGCTTTGCCTGGGTGGCTTTGAGGGCTTGATAAGCCTTCCTCTTTTTCAGGAGATTTTCTGGAACCAAGGGGATCTTTTTTCTTTGCCTGAAACAGAAAATCGCGATCAGCAGTTAAGATTTAGGAAACGAACATTCAAAGTATCTCCAAAACTGAGCATCCTGGGACTTTGGGGAACACTGTCTTCAAGTTCTCGGGTCGAGTCTTCAGCGGAGACCCTTATGTCACTCCTCAAAGTTTTAAAAAGCCGCTGAGGCGGGAGTGGCGGCGCGCCTATAATCCCAGCACTCAGGAGGCTGAGGCAGGAGGGCTGGCCTTGAGTTGTAGGCCAGCGCGGACGACAGAGTGGAGCTCGAGGCCTGCCTGATTTACGAAGCGACACTGTTTTCAAAAAAAAAAAAGTATGAACCCGCTGGTTTTGAGTTCGCACACGTCAATGGTCGTTACCGCCACGATTTCCCAGACACTAACAGCTGTGAGATCTGGGTAAAAGCCCGTGGAACTGGTACAAGCGCACGGTGAATACGGAAAGTCAGGCTGCGCGAACCCAACACGGGCACTCCGTAACAAGTCTCCCCTCCGCACCTCGGCTTCCTTATCTGCCGCCTGTCCTCGACTCTCGAGGTAACCCGAATCTGACGGCGGCCCCCCTGGCTCGCCCCATCCCTGTAGTCTCTCACTCCCCACTTTCTTTCCTATGACCAAAGCATTAAATACCAAGGATGGCATCGGATACTTAAGGTTCCACTCCACACATCCTAACACCCCAAACTCACTCTTCCTCCGCCATCTTTCCGACGTAATGACTACTGCGCATGCGCACGCCGTTCCGTTCGGGACGAGAGATCCCCTCTGTTTACTTGATCATCGAGACGGCTACTCTAGCTCACGCTGGAGGACTCGGACAGCCATCGCTCATTTAGCAACAGTCTCCAATAAGAGGTCTTCCTCACCATATGATTCATACCAAAAATGGCTCAAAACTTCTTTCGCACCCCTTCCATTTCTTTTAGTGCCCATTCCATTTTCAAAATCCAGTTCTTTTCATTTAAACTACATTCTCTAGCTTCTGTTGGTTTAACTGTGAATAAAACGCTTCCCACAATGCACCACTACTTCCGCTGTCGTCATGCACTTCCGGTTCGCTCTACGTTGCGCGGCTCTGCAAAAGAGACTGGCAGCCGGGTGTTGTGGTGCACGCCTGTAATCGCAGCGCTCGGGAGGCCGAGGCAGGAGGTTCCTTGCGAGTTCGAGGCCAGCCTGGGCTACATAAGTGAATTCAAGGCCAGCCTGAACTGCATAGTGAAACCCTGTCTCAAAAAGACCAAAAAAAAAAAAAAAAAAGAGACAGGAGAGAGAGAAGAGAGAGAGACAGACAGAGAGACAGAGAGAGAGAGGCATCCTGGGATTGTGTTTTTGCTGGGCAGGGCGACGTGAGGGTCTGGCTTTGGCTCCCACATACGGTTTTGTAGAATGCGTAGGATGGTAAAGAAAGTAGCCCCGAGTGAGTGCAATGCCGACCTGTGATCACGCCTCTCTGGGGAAGCAGAGGCAAGAGGATTCATGCAAGTCTGAATCCAGTCTGGGCAATTTAGCAATTTAATGAGACCCTTTACCAAAATTTTTAAAAAAAGGCGGGCGGGGGATGGAGCTGCAGCTCAGTGTGAGGGCCCAGGGTTCTCTTTTAAGTCTCTCACACACCGAAGAAGGTAGCCCGGACTGTTGGTTTTGTTCCCTCACTGGGTCTGTGAGCATTATTTACTCCCTGTCTACTTTGGTTTCTTTGCTCATGACACGAGTAGTAGCATTCCGAGGACTAGGTGAAATTGCATTAAGCGTTGAGCACAGTGTCTGACAGCGGGCAACACTATGCTGGTCACCATCACTGCCGCCGGGAGCTAGAAATGCGCGTCACATCTCAGAGCTCCCCTCGTGTGGTGCTCATCGCCTGCTGTATGCACTCAGCTATTCTAGGCGATGTCCTGAGCAGCGCCTTAAGACCTGCCATCTTTCCAGAGCATTCATGTGTGTAGGAATCACCTGAGGATTCCTTTAAAATTAAATGCAGATTTTAAAAGTCTGGCTTGGTAGCAAGCATCGTCACATTGAGCTACATCGCCAGCCCTTTAAGGAAAAAAAAAAAAAATTAGAGCCAGTTGTATTATTCTATAACCCCAGCACGCAGGAGGCTGAGTCAGGAGGATAACTGCAAGTTCAGTGCCAGCCCGGGCTACATAAGGTCAGCATGGACTACGTAGACCTTGTATCAACCAACCAATTGATCAATATTAAACATTTTTGAGACAGCATCTCGTTAAATTGCCTAACTGGCCTTGAACTTGGGATCCTCCTGCCTCTAGTTCTGGAGTAGCTGGGGTTACCTCTGCACCACCATCCAAAGGTTATAATCTCCATTTTTAACAAGCTTCATGGACCAATGTATCACACTTTATTTTTGCTTTGCTTGTTTTTGTTTTTCTTTTTTGAGACAGGGTCTTACCTAGTAGTCCAGGCTGGCCTTAAACTCACTGTGTAGCCCAGGCTGGCCTAGAATTTGTGGTGATCCTCCTGCCTCAGCCTCCTGAGTGCTGGGATTACAGGTGTGCACTACCATGCCTGGCTCTGTTTATTTTTTTAATTAAAAAATTTTATTACTTATTTTGTTGTTGTTGTTCTTTGAGACAGAGTCTTGCTATATAGTTCAAACTGGACTTGAACTTGCTGTGTAGCCCAGGCTGGCCTCAAGCTCGAAGTGATCCTCTTGCTTCTGCCATCTGAGTGCTGGGATTATAAGGGTGTACCACCACACTCAGCTGGACTATACTTTGACTAGCAAAGGTTTTGAGTAATGTCTTTCCTTTCTTTGAATGGTTCTCTTAGGGCATAAAAGAACGCCACCAGGCAGGTGCCTGGTGCCTTGTCTTAGTCCCCACTAGGGGAGAGGATTGCTTGAGCCAGCGGGTTCAGACCATCCTAGGCAACATAGTGAGACTGAGTGTCAAAGAAAACAAGAAAAAGAACCAGGCTGGGGTAACCAGTTCGGGTCCCCCTTCTGTCCCTCTCTTGGACAGAAGCTTTCTTTCCCTCAATAAATATATTCTGCTCTTAACCTCCGTTATTTCTAAAATTTATTCTTCGATTTTAGAGAACATGAACTCGGTATCATTCAAGCTGGGGGTTTTTATTTTCCTGTATCATTTTGGAGTTCCCCACCGAGATCCTTGGATGGAGATGTAAAGCTATATGTCTGCCCCAGATGAAAACGCCTGGTGTCTATCGAGGACCTTTAGCTCGGTCCTCTGAAGAGTATCTCTGACTGCCGATCAACAACTGTGACCCCTTTCAGCCTGAAGAAGCCCGAGCGGTCATCGCCTGTTACTCCCTCACTGCAGTTCGGGTTATTTCTTCAGAGGGGGGAATGTTACTGGCAGCTGAGTTAGACAGAAATATTGTAGGTAGTCAGACAGGGCCAGGCCCTGGAAGAAGCCAATATGGAAGACAAGATACCTTACAAATGGAGAGGTGGGGGCTAGGGATTTAGCTCAGCGGCAGAAGCGCCTGCCTGGCAAGCACAAGGTCGTGAGTTCGGTTCCCGGTACCGGAGAAAAACAAAACAAAACAAAACAAAAACAAATGGAGAGGTGGTACTTGCTTCAGGCCAGATCTCAAGATCAAAGACTAAATAAACACACCCTCTTACTTTCCCCACCCAAAAAAAAGAATCGGGCTAGGGGTGTGGTTCAGTGTTGCAGAAGACCTGTGTTCAATTCAACTCCAGCCAAAGGTGGGGGTGGGGTGTGTGTGTGTGTGTGTGTGTGTGTGTGTATGTGCGCGCGCGCGTGCATGCTTTTTTTGGTATGTTCCTGTTTTTGGTTACACCTCGATCATCACTGATCCTGAATCTACTTCCAGTTTCTCATCTGGAGCCAAGCAATCTGTTATTAATGGGGGTGAGGAGTCCTGCACATTGTAGGCTGTTGAGTAGCATCCTTGGGTCCTGTCACCCCTTAGATGGCAATAACACCTCCACCCCAGCTGAGACAGTTACAGATTCCTCTAGCATTGCTGTGTCTAGTACAGTATGTTTACTTATCCTAAAGGTCTCAGGCAATGCCATTATTTTTACACCTAAAGGCACTGCTGGACTTTGCCTTATCCCTTGGGCTTGCTGTTTCCCTAACTAGGATGAGTGCTCTTTGACTTTTGTTTTTTCTTTTTCCTTTTTTTTTTTTTTTAGACGGGGTCTTCCTCTGCAGTTCAGGCTGGCCTTGAGCTCACTTTGTAGCCCAGGCTGGTCTCGAACTTGCAACAATCCTCCTGCCTTAGCCTCCTGAGTGCTGGGATTACAGGCCTGTGTCACCACACCCTATGTTGAGTGCTGAGGACAGGGAACTCATCATACTTCCTCTGTATCTTCTGCAACACCTCTTACAGGAAGGGTCTGTGGGGCTTGGCTTGTTTTTTTTTTTTTTTTGTTTTCTTTTTTTTGGGGGGTGCTTGGCTTGTTAACTATCCAAGTGTAGATCTTGTGAAGCAGGGCATCACTATGCTGTGTTAACTAGCCCACCCCAAAAGGCAGTGCATAGATTGGACTGCTCAAAACCTCATAGGTAGCAGGGCGTGGTGGCACACGCCTGGAATCCCAGCACTCAGGAGGCTGAGACAGGAGGATCATTGTAAGTTTGAGACCAGCCTGGGCTACAAAGTGAGCTCAAGGCCAGCCTGAACTGCAGAGCAAGACCTTGTCTCAAAAAGACCAAAAAAACAAAACAAAACAAAACAAAAACAAACCCTGATAAGTATAGGTGAAAAGGAATGATGTTCAGAATCTCAGCAAGTGACCAGAGGCTCCTTGTCACTCTTTCCACACCCTACCGTGCACCTTACTTTACAAAGAAGCAAAAGAGAAGTTCACCAAAATGAAAGCCATTCAACAGCAAACAGGGGATAAAAAAGAAATCAGTATTTTGTAACTTTCCCTGTCTGGGAATAAGAATTTCAGGACTGTTAAACATTCCCAGCAGTGTGGAACTTGGGAGGAGAAGCTGCAAGAAATAGTTCTTCACAGCCAGCAGATGGTGCTAGACAGCTGACTGTCCTCCCCAAGCTGGCGCTGACCAGACTGACCCACGAAAGGACAAGAATCCTTTTCACCCAGGAACTTGTGAACTCACTAAATTTGTGTTTACTGAGCACTGACCACATGACATGTAGGTTTTTTTATTTTGGTACTGGGAATTGAACTCAGGACCTTGCACTTGCCAGGCCGGCGCTTGTGCCACTGAGCTATATCCCTGGCCCTGATATGTAGGTTTTCTTTCTCCCTAAAATGAGAATGTGGCATGGCTATCTAGAACCTTAAAAACTGACTTTTTAAAGTCTGTTCTCATCTTTTTTTTGAGACAGAGTAGTACTATGCATAGTTCAAGCTGTCCTTGAGCTCATTTTGTAGCCCAGGCTGGCCTGGAACTCACAGTGATCCTCTTGCCTCAGCCTCCCGAGTGCTGGGGTTACAGGTGTGTGTCAACATGCCTGGCTTTCTGTTCTCATCTTGGACACGTCCAGCACTAGGGAATGGGTGGAAACATCACGGACAACTATGCAGCTGTGTGCGGTGATGAAGGGCTTCAGGTCCTGGAATCTCATGGATGGACAGTTTTCATTTTTAGGGCCTGCCAACCTCTGCTCCCATTTCCTAACGGTAAGCGTCTCTCCCGGGAACTGGCCTTTCCCTCATGGTGTACAGTCTTGGAGGTGGTGGGAAAATTCCAACTCCAAGTGCTTGCCCTCCCAATACTTAAGTGTTTTGTTTGTGTTTGTGCGCAGTACTGGCGGTTGAACACAAGGCCTCATGTATGTAAGTAGGCATTTTACCACGGAGTTACACGTGACCTCTTTTCTTTAAATTTTATTTTGAGACAGGGTCTTGCTAAATTGCCCCATATGGCCTGAAAGTTGCAATCCTCCTGCCTCAGCCTCCAGAGTGGTGGAATTACAGGTGCTAGGCATTCCACCTAGCCCAGGATTTAAATATCAGGGGTCTTTGTAAGATCTTTTTAACACTTCTCACCTCCCGGTGGGAGGGAACATGAGAC